CCAGAGCAAGCTCTGCTTGTGCATACTCACTTCCCAGCTGCCTTTATGTGTGTCTATGTGACATCCAGAGCATGGTTCAGTCCTGTCCTCCCCTCCTTCCTCACTGGCTGTGATTGACAGCAGTAGGAGCCATTGGTTATGTCTCAGCCAATGAGGAGAGAGAGTCTCCTAAGAGCTGCTGCTCTCAAGCACATTGCTGGATCAAGATGGGGCTCAAGTAAGTAATAAGAGGGCTGCAGAGGAAGCTGCACACTGAAGGTGTTTTACCTTCATGCATAAAATGCATGAAGGTAAAAAAACTTTCAGCCTTTAGATCCACTTTAATTTTTGCTGCTGCTCACTGGCTGTGATTGACAGAAGCGGGAGCCAATGGCAGAGCAGAGAGTGGACTAATGACTGTGTGACCAGATGTGTGACCAGATGGTGAGCTGCAATAACACTGGGATTGGTGAGCTGCTGTGGGACTTACTATCTGCTGCTAATAAGACTGAGCCCTTTAGGAACTGACCATACAGCCATCTAGTAGCCTTACTGCTGCCTGCAGGCCGGACTGGGACTATTTTCATGTGCACCAACAGTACAATTGTGCCCTGACCTAGCTGGCTGAAGAGTTAGGATTAAAGACTGTCCTTTTACATCTGCTACACAGAAACCTTCACCTATTGCTTATGCTAAGAGGTACCTCTCAAAGTACCTCTTATATATATTGCACCATATCCCAGCCATTCTCCTAGAGTGCACTCTAGAGTAGTTATAGTAATTTTATTCACATTCATATGCAGTTAATGCTTATATGCACTCTTTATTGCTGACTTTGCTGATTCCAATTAATCCCAGTTTTTTGGTACAGACCTCCAACTACATTGCCTTGGTAAAGTGATTATGCTGTCCAACAGACTATGTGTGAAGCTACCTTCTGTGTGTTCATTTATGCTCAAACCACCATTTATTCTAACTCTTACCAATACATTGAGCCCATTTACCACTAAAATGTCTTGTGTCTATTTCCTGGTGCTAATTTACAGTCAAGTTGAGGGTATCTATACTCATGTTCTTCTAAGTGCATGCAGTGACTTTCATTTAACCAGTTGTGTCAGAGGGGCTGAGGGTATTTTCGGAGTCCCTGTGCAAAAAAGAGCCCAAATTACCAAGCAGCTCCTGCAAGGGTAGCACTACAATCTTCTGCTGTTTCTCTTCATTATAAATATCTCCTGGTATTACTCTAATAAAAAGCAGTCCCTTCATCTACTTAAGCATGGTTCTGTTGGAAGTGTAACCATTAGTGTAGCTACAACTCTATGAGTCCCAATGTAAATATTGCACCTAAATCACCTAACCAAAGACAGAGGACACTTTTTTGCTGTGTAGATTTAACTTATCTGTGCGGATTTGCAGTCCATTGTTTTGAGAAAGCACTCAAACATATATATATAGTGCATCCAGAAAGTATTTAGTCCTTAACTTTTGCCACATTTTGTTATGTTACAGCCTTATTCCAAAATGGATTAAATTAATTTTTTTCAGCAACATTCTACAAACAATACCCCATAATGACAACGTGAAAGAAGTTAGTTTTGAAATCTTTGCAATTTATTAAAAATAAAAAAACGAAAAAAAACCCCCATAAGTATTCACAGCCTTTGCCATGACTATCAAAATTGAGCTCTGGTGCATCCTGTTCCCACTGATCATCCTTGAGATGTTTCCACAACTTGATTGGAATTCACCTGTGGGAAATTCAGTTGAATGGACATGATTAGGAAAGGTATAAACCTGTCTATATAAGGTCCCACAGTTAACAGTGCATATTAGAGCACAAACCAAGCCATGAAGTCTAAGGAATTGTCTGTAGACCTCCGAGATAGGATTGTATCAAGGCACAGATCTGGGGAAGGGTACAGAAAAATTTCTGCAGCATTGAAGGTCCCAATGAGCACAGTGGGCTCCATCATCCGTAAATGGAAAAAGTTTGAAACTACCAGGAATCTTCCTAGAGTGGGCCGCCCGGACACAATGAGCGATCGAGGGAGAAGGGCCTTAGCCAGGGAGGTAACCAAGCACCCAATGGTCACTCTGAAAGAGCTCCAGCATTTCTCTGTAGAGAGAAGAGAACCTTCCAGAAGAACAACCATCTCTGCAGCACTCCACCAATCAGGCCTGTATGGTAGAGTGGCCAGACGGAAGCCACTCCTCAGTAAAAGGCAAATGGCAGCCCGTCTGGAGTTTGCCAAAAGGGACCCGAGGGACTCTCGGACCATGAGAAACAAAACTCTCTGGTCTGATGAAACAAAGATTGAATTCTTTGGCCTGAATGCCAAGCGTCATGTCTGGAGGTAACCAGGCATCGCTCACCACCTGGCAAATACCATCCCTACAGTGAAGCATTTTGTTGTCAGCATCATGCTGTGGGGATGTTTTTCAGCGACAGGAACTGGGAGACTAGTCAGGATCGAAAGTATGATGAATGCAGCAATGTGCAGAGACATCCTTGATGAAAATCTGTTTCAGAGCGCCCTGGACCTTAGACTGGGGTGACAACAGTACAACGATCCTAAACACACAGCCCACATAACAAAGGAGTGGCTACAGGCCAACTCTGTGAATGTTCTGGAGTGGCCCCAGCCAGAGCCCAGACTTAAACCCGATTGAACATCTCTGGAGAGATCTGAAAATGGCTGTGCACTGATGCTCCCCATCCAACCTGATGGAGCTTGAGAGGTATTGCAAAGAAGAATGGGAGAAATTGCCCAAAAATAGGTGTGCCAAGCTTGTAGCATCATACTCAAAATGACTTGAGGCTGTAATTGGTGCTAAAGGTACTTTAACAAAACATTGAGCAAAGGCTTTGAATACTTGTGTACATGTGGATTTTTTTTTTTTTTTTTGTTTTTTATTGTTAATACATTTCAAAGATTTGAAAATGAACACCTTTCACATTGTCATTATGGGGTATTGTTTGTAGAATGTTGAGGAAAAAAATGAATTTAATCCATTTTGGAATAAGGCTGTAACATAACAAAATGTGGCAAAAGTTAAGAGCTATGAATACTATCTAGATGCACTGTGTATGTATGTATGTATAAATATATATATATATATATATATATATATATATATATATATATATATATAATATTCCAAAAGCAGTCAATATGGAGTTGCCCACCTCCCTCACCTTTGCAGCTATATCACAGAAGGGCACATTAATATTGAAACAGAATAGGATCTTCCACAGACTGTTGCCACAAGGTTCTAAGTGTACAAATATCTAAAATATCTTTGTATGCTTTAGCATAAAACAGGAACTCTGGTGGGCACAAAGGCGTTTTATGTAAGTATAATCCTCAATAGCCATAATGGATATAAATCCACTTTGTGTGCACCAATTGCCTTTGTAAATCCAGTTATTATGTTGTAAAAGTAGCAGTAACATCATCACTGTGCTGTACATAGCCTGTGCAGAGAACAGAGCTATGAGAGGGACCCAGCAAGTCTCACCTACTACAGGTTGTCTGTAGAAAAATACCACAGGGGGTAGAGACAAGACCAGTCACCCCACACAAGGAGAGAGCACAGCAGTGACCGGTCTTTATAACAGGAAGTTCTTGCACAGAGGCAAAGTTTCACACTGGATTACTGCACAGATCTGGAAGGAATACACAAAGCACACCACGATTACACATGCCTCTTGTACTCAGAAAATTGTTTCTTATCCCAGAGTTCGGCTTTAACAGTCCCCTTCACAGGAAACATCTGAACTCCTCAATTTGAGCTCAGTTATTTGCAGAGGGTCCCCATTGTTTTAACTTTATACAGTGGTAGATGTGATGGGCAGGTGTACACAGAAGATAACAACTTACGACCTCTGTTCCAGTAACCCTGAGTGTGAAGCAGTAATTGTTTGTCCAGAGCCAGCTGTCCTACAAGAACTTAAAGTATAAGACAAGGCAAAATGTTTTTTAGTTTTGCATTAAATGGAGAGGGATAGTAGTAGTAATAATATTATTATTTGATTATTCTGGCAACACAGCGGCTAAGTGGTTAGTGTCAAAAAGTTTTCCTTCTCTGCCTTGTGATCACACCAATCCTTTTGGTCTAACAGTGCCTTGAAAAAGTATTCATGCTTCTTGAAATATTCCACATTTTGTCATGTTACAAACAAAAACGTAAATGTATTTTATTGGGATTTTATGTGATAGACCAACACAAAGTGGCACATAATTGTGAATTGGAAGGAAAATGATTAGAGATGAGCGAAGTATTCAAAAATTCGATTCGACTGATTCAGCGAATTCGTGGAAAAATTTTGATTCGAGTCGAATATATTCGCTGTGAATTTAACTTAAAAAAGGGTGTTTCTAGGCTTCAGAGAGACTTAATATTTAGTGCAGAACACTGTACCTTTAATTTAAATGCCCTTGGAGTCTGCTGGGGAAGAGAAATAATACTGTCAGTCAGTATGACATGCAGATGAGTGCCGTCGATCTTAGAATCACCGCACACTTCACTCATTTGGGCAGTCACGGGGCCAAAACCAGAGTGTGGAGCCACAGTGTGGCGGTGGAGGCAGCAGCAATGGGAGGCCATACAGCACCCTATGACAAAAATGGAAACCACCAGCAGTGTGAGGAGACCTGAAAGTGGCACATGGCAGAGTGTGGCGATAGAGACAGCAGCAATGGGAGGCCGTACAGTGACCCATGACAGACTCTGGACTTGGCAGCAGCATGAGGAGGCGGTATATGGCTTATGGCGGATTAGGGGCCTGGCAGCAGCTATAGGAGGCCCGTAATCTGCCAGCACCCTATGTCAAAAAAATTGAACACACCAGCAGTGTGTGAGGAGACCTGAAAGTGGCACATGGCAGAGTGTGGCGATGGAGACAGCAGCAATGGGAAGCCGTACAGGGACCCATGACAGACTCTGGACTTGGCAGCAGCATGAGGAGGCGGTATATAGGGGCCCATGGAAGATTAGGGGCCTGGCAGCAGCTATAGGAGGCCGTAATCTGCCAGCACCCTATGTCAAAAAATTGAACACACCAGCAGTGTGAGGAGACCTGAAAGTGGCACATGGCAGAGTGTGGCGATGGAGACAGCAGCAATGGGAGGCCGTACAGGGACCCATGACAGACTCTGGACTTGGCAGCAGCATGAGGAGGCGGTATATAGGGGCCCATGGCAGATTAGGGGCCTGGCAGCAGAGCTATAGGAGGCCCGTAATCTGCCAGCACCCTATGTCAAAAAATTCACACACACCAGCAGTGTGTGAGGAGACCTGAAAGTGGCACATGGCAGAGTGTGGCGATGGAGACAGCAGCAATGGGAGGCCGTACAGGGACCCATGACAGACTCTGGACTTGGCAGCAGCATGAGGAGGCGGTATATAGGGCCTATGGCAGATTAGGGGCCTGGCAGCAGCTATAGGAGGCCCGTAATCTGCCAGCACCCTATGTCAAAAAATTGAACACACCAGCAGTGTGTGAGGAGACCTGAAAGTGGCACATGGCAGAGTGTGGCGATGGAGACAGCAGCAATGGGAGGCCGTACAGGGACCCATGACAGACTCTGGACCTTTGGCAGCAGCATGAGGAGGCGGTATATAGGGGCCCATGGCAGATTAGGGGCCTGGCAGCAGCTATGGGAGGCCCGTAATCTGCCAGCACCCTATGTCAAAAAATTCAACACACCAGCAGTGTGTGAGGAGACCTGAAAGTGGCACATGGCAGAGTGTGGCGATGGAGACAGCAGCAATGGGAGGCCGTACAGGGACCCATGACAGACTCTGGACTTGGCAGCAGCATGAGGAGGGGGTATATAGGGGCCCATGGCAGATTAGGGGCCTGGCAGCAGCTATGGGAGGCCCGTAATCTGCCAGCACCCTATGTCAAAAAATTGAACACACCAGCAGTGTGTGAGGAGACCTGAAAGTGGCACATGGCAGAGTGTGGCGATGGAGACAGCAGCAATGGGAGGCCGTACAGGGACCCATGACAGACTCTGGACTTGGCAGCAGCATGAGGAGGCGGTATATAGGGGCCCATGGCAGATTAGGGGCCTGGCAGCAGCTATGGGAGGCCCGTAATCTGCCAGCACCCTATGTCAAAAAATTGAACACACCAGCAGTGTGTGAGGAGACCTGAAAGTGGCACATGGCAGAGTGTGGCGATGGAGACAGCAGCAGCAATGGGAGGCCGTACAGGGACCCATGACAGACTCTGGACTTGGCAGCAGCATGAGGAGGCGGGTATATAGGGGCCCATGGCAGATTAGGGGCCTGGCAGCAGCTATGGGAGGCCCGTAATCTGCCAGCACCCTATGTCAAAAAATTCAACACACCAGCAGTGTGTGAGGAGACCTGAAAGTGGCACATGGCAGAGTGTGGCGATGGAGACAGCAGCAATGGGAGGCCGTACAGGGACCCATGAGAGACTCTGGACTTGGCAGCAGCATGAGGAGGCGGTATATAGGGGCCCATGGCAGATTAGGGGCCTGGCAGCAGCTATGGGAGGCCCCGTAATCTGCCAGCACCCTATGTCAAAAAAAATTCAACACACAGCAGTGTGTGTGAGGAGACCTGAAAGTGGCACATGGCAGAGTGTGGCGATGGAGACAGCAGCAATGGGAGGCCGTACAGGGACCCATGAGAGACTCTGGACTTGGCAGCAGCATGAGGAGGCGGTATATAGGGGCCCATGGCAGATTAGGGGCCTGGCAGCAGCTATGGGAGGCCCGTAATCTGCCAGCACCCTATGTCAAAAAATGGAACACACCAGCAGTGTGTGAGGAGACCTGAAAGTGGCACATGGCAGAGTGTGGTGGCGATGGGAGACAGCAGCAATGGGAGGCCGTACAGGGACCCATGACAGACTCTGGGACCTTGGCAGCAGCATGAGGAGGCTTATGGTATATAGGGGCCCATGGCAGATTAGGGGCCTGGCAGCAGCTATGGGGAGGCCCGTAATCTGCCAGCACCCTATGTCAAAAAATGGAACACACCAGCAGTGTGTGAGGAGACCTGAAAGTGGCACATGGCAGAGTGTGGCGATGGAGACAGCAGCAATGGGAGGCCGTACAGGGACCCATGACAGACTCTGGACTTGGCAGCAGCATGAGGAGGCGGTATATAGGGGCCCATGGCAGATTAGGGGCCTGGCAGCAGCTATGGGAGGCCCGTAATCTGCCAGCACCCTATGTCAAAAAATTGAAACACACCAGCAGTGTGTGAGGAGACCTGAAAGTGGCACATGGCAGAGTGTGGCGATGGAGACAGCAGCAATGGGAGGCCGTACAGGGACCCATGAGAGACTCTGGACTGGCAGCAGCATGAGGAGGCGGTATATAGGGGCCCATGGCAGATTAGGGGCCTGGCAGCAGCTATGGGAGGCCCGTAATCTGCCAGCACCCTATGTCAAAAAATTGAACACACCAGCAGTGTGAGGAGGAGACCTGAAAGTGGCACATGGCAGAGTGTGGCGATGGAGACAGCAGCAATGGGAGGCCGTACAGGGACCCATGAGAGACTCTGGACCTGGCAGCAGCATGAGGAGGCGGTATATAGGGGCCCATGGCAGATTAGGGGCCTGGCAGCAGCTATGGGAGGCCGTAATCTGCCAGCACCCTATGTCAAAAAATTCAACACACCAGCAGTGTGTGAGGAGACCTGAAAGTGGCACTGGAAACTGTGGCACATGGCAGAGTGTGGCGATGGAGACAGCAGCAATGGGAGGCCGTACAGGGACCCATGAGAGACTCTGGACTTGGCAGCAGCATGAGGAGGCGGTATATAGGGGCCCATGGCAGATTAGGGGCCTGGGCAGCAGCAGCTATGGGAGGCCCGTAATCTGCCAGCACCCTATGTCAAAAAAATGGAACACACCAGCAGTGTGTGAGGAGACCTGAAAGTGGCACATGGCAGAGTGTGGCGATGGAGACAGCAGCAATGGGAGGCCGTACAGGGACCCATGAGAGACTCTGGACTGGCAGCAGCATGAGGAGGCGGTATATAGGGGCCCATGGCAGATTAGGGGCCTGGCAGCAGCTATGGGAGGCCCGTAATCTGCCAGCACCCTATGACAAAAAATGGAACACACCACCAGCAGTGTGTGAGGAGACCTGAAAGTGGCACATGTTTGAGGCATGATTCATGGCGGATTTAGTCAGTTGTGTCAGGAACTGGTGGTTTGAAATCCAGACTAATCCACGCCTGATTCATTTTCACAAACGTGAGTCTCTCCACACTTTGGGTGGACAGTCGTGTCCTCCGCGGAGTTACAATACCTCCTGCCGCACTAAACACGCGCTCCGATGCCACGCTACTGGCCGGGCATGACAGCCTTTCAAGGGCAAATTCAGCTAGTTGGGGCCAAAGGTCAAGTTTCGTTGCCCAGTAGTCAAGGGGATTGTCTACCTCGGTTGGCAGGGTGCTGTCCAAGTAGGCCCAAGCCTGTTGTTTGAGGTCCTGCTCCAGGTCCACCTGATGCTGCTGCTGCTGCTGCTGCGGGGGTTAGTAGTTTCCTCACTGCGCTGGTGAAGAAAGCTACTCATCATCGACTGCAGACTGAGGCAGCCGCTGCTGGTGGAGCTGCCACTGCTCCTACCACCCCACCCCTCCCCTGCTGCCATGGCAGCGGAACGCGAGCGCACAGGGCCCACAGTGTCTGAGGATGGACGTTGGCGCACAAAGGCAGAGACCAACTGACTACATAGGTGGTTTTTATAGTACGTTATTTTGGCCTCCCTCTCAGCAGGTGTGAAAAAGGCCACCATTTTTGAACGGGTAGCGAGGGTCCAACAAGGTGGACAGCCAAAAGTCATCCCTCTGTCTGATGGTTATTATTCGGCTGTCGCTACGCAAGCAACCGAGCATGCTATGGGCCATTTGTGCCAAGGAATGCGAGGGACTCCCTGCCTCCATCTCCACAGCATACTGCCACGGTGCGTCTGGGTCCTCTGTCTCCTCCTCCTCCTCCCTCTACCAGATGCTCCTGCTCCTCCACTCCTGTCCGCTGAGTGGAAAAAAAACCACCCATTTCACTCAATAATTCCTGAGCACAAATGTCCTCCTCTACCTCCTCCTCTTCTTCCTGTCCTGCCCCCACAGGGGTCATGTGGCGTTGAGATCTGTGCGCCACGTCTACCGCACCCTGACCAGCCATTGTTAACAGCATTTGTTCCAGGACGTGCAACAGAGGAATGACGTCGTTCATCCCATAGTCCTGCCGACTCACGAATAGCGTGGCCTCCTCAAAGGGCCTGAGCAAGCGGCAGGTGTCACGCATGAGCTGCCAATGGCTGACATCGAAGTTACACAGGGGGAGTACCTTTATCCGCTTGTAACATCAGGAAATCGGTGATGGCCTTTCGCTGTTCGTAAAGGCGGTCTAACATGTGTAGGGTTGAATTGAATTCCACCTTGTTGCAACGTCGCAGATCAGGCGATGCTGTGGAATTCCGTTCTGCCGCTGCAGCTCAAGGAGGGTGTGCTTTGCGGTGTAGGAATGGCTGAAATGAAATGCATGCAAAGTTTACGTGACATTTTAAGGATGTCTTGCAGTGGGATGGTGGATTTTAGGAACCGCTTGACAACCAGATTGAACACGTGAGCCATGCATGGCGCATGGCACAACCTTCCTTGACGCAGAGCAGACACCATGTTCTTTCCGTTGTCGGTCAACATGGTTCCGATTTTCAGTTTGCGCGGAGACAGCCATCTGTCGATTTCTCTGTTCATTACACTGAGAAGTTCCTCCCCTGTGTGACTACGTTCGCCAAGGCATACCAGGTGCAGCACAGCGTGACACCGTTGCGCCCTGCACATGTGATATGCCGGTCGGGTAATGGGACTTGGCACGGGGGGGGGTGGCGGCTGAGGACACGGCGGAAGAAGAGGTGGTAGAGGCGGACATCTTTGCCGGACCAAGGACGTGCAAACGTGGAGGCAAAAGCGGCGTGACCTGTCCAAGTTGCTGGTGCGGCTGTGACGGCACCACGTTCACCCAGTGGGCCGTAAATGACATGTACTGTCCCTGACCGTAGTTACAGCTCCACACGTCGGCGCTGCCGTGCACTTTGGCAGAGACCGACATGCTCAAAGACTGGCCCACCATCTCTTCTACATGTGAATGCAGGGCTGGCACTGCCTTTTTGGCGAAGAA